GGCTGGACGTGTGTGGCGTTTTCTATGCAAAGTCAACAAGGAGAAGAGCTTAAACTGAATATATAGCTGTGTGTGGCAGTTCTTAGGGGTGGAAAGGGGCAAAGCTGTGGTGAGGGCTATAGCAGGAGCTGGGGTTAGTATTCTTTCTGAGCAGCAGAAGTCCATTTCTCCTTACCTTGGAGAGCAAGTAATACAAAACTGTGTGGTGCTAACATAAACGTATTGTCTTGGACAAGCCCAGGAAATTTTTCTGCAAAATTTCTGTTTCCAGAAAAGGCTTAAAGTTCAGAAAGGGCAGTATATTCCCATGGGCCATTGACTTGGGAGCAAAGACTGTTGGGTAACCTTCAGCAAGTTTCCTCCAGTCTCATTGCTTCGTGTTAACCTGAACTTGAAACTGAATCAACCTCCAGGTGTAGACAAATGGTCAGGCTGTAAATTTTTCAGGACCGTGACCATCTCTTGTTATGTCTGTTAACAAGCTGGGAGATTCTGATTGTGACTTTGATCTTCATTTCTGCAATAATGCGGGTGATGATTTAAACTTTCCAGGGTGCCTGCAGGTCACAAGCCGTGTCAGTGGGTACTTCTGCATATTCGGGGCGATTGATGGATATGTATTTGCTCAGAGCTGACCGGGAGTTCCTTTGACTCTGTGTCGCGTCGGCGGAGCTCAGCTCTGATTCCTGATTTGGAGCACTGGGCACAGCCAAGGTGTGTGGTTCGGTGGGTTCGTCCTTTTTCTTAAATAACGGCTGTGATACATGAGCACAGACAGAAGGATCTGCCAGCGTTCAAACAAGATGGGAGCTGGGGCCGTAATAAAAATCCTTGTGAGTGTTCCAACTCAGCTAATCCTTCATTTACTCCAGGAATAAATTCCAGTATGTTACCTCCTCGATCAGGGCCCACTTCCAGCACATCCTGTCTGTCTGGCAGCACAGAAATGTCAGAAATGCAGCAGCGTTGCAATTCCCACTAGAACAGTGTTATCACATTTTAATATGAGCCTTGGTGCAGCCTCGGTGCTTCTAATTGCTTTCAAACCATTGTTTTCATGCCTTTGGTTGATGAACCCAGCATCTGGCATCATTTGAGAAAGTACAACAGACAGCTGTGTTCAAAATTAAAAAAAAAGTGAGAGAGGATTAGAACACATAAAAGGGCTCAAAATTAGATTTTTTTTTTTAATTTTGAAAGTTCATACAATTTAAAGGGTGGAGGAGGGATGCTTTTGTTCTTTTGAAATAGTCTTTATTCTCTTATAGAGTTGGAAGCCTAAGTAATGTTAGGAAGATTGGTTTGTAGAACTGTGTATAGATTTGTAAATGAAGTGCCTAGCTCGCTTAAATGACTGCTGGGAATTACTGTACAAGTGTTTGGGTCTTTAGGTGTGTAGATATCTCCAAATGTGTCCCTACGTCATCTTGAACTAATACCGTTCTGAAAAAACGTACTAAGGAAACAAGACGGCTTGGGAGTTAAACCATGGGCTCGGACATCACCTTGAGCGCACCAGCTCCAGTTTGTGATACCTTGCTGGGGGAAGGAAAGGTGGTGATGACAACTTGGTGCCTGCTGAATGGAAAAGAGCCAGAGAACTACAGCGTGGGGCTTGGTTTTAAAGAAAAAAAAAAAAAAAAACCCACATGTCTGGACATATTGGTAAGAGGACCGCAAAACCCAGGCATAAATTAGCTGCCTAGCTGCACTGCCAGTGCATTTAAATAACAGGCTGATGTGGCGAAGGAAAAGGCTGCTTCTAAGAAGGTTTGGGATTTTCTTTGTAAAATCTAGTAAACAGCTTTTCTGATGGGGTTTAAACACAACTTGTGACCGCATCTGGCAAAGGCTCCTTGAACTCCGAGCCATGCAGAAATCCCTTGGAAGACCAAAACCTCAGTGATTCCAGCTGTCCCAACCTGTTGGTTTCCAGTATTGGCTGAAATTAATACAATCCGTCTCGATATCTCCCAGCAAACAGAAATGAAACAGGAGTGTGAGTCTTGTCTTGAGGATGAGTTGGGTAGACCAGAGCAGTTTCAGAAAGATGTAACTGAACGGAGCGTAAGACGCAGGATGAGTTGCTCTGCCCAATTCATACGCACCAAGTCATGTTGTTGACTCTGCTGTGTAGCTGCAGATTATTTTTGCCTTGTTCCTTAGGTGCTCTTTGAACAGAGCCGCGGGGTGACTCGTATTTCCTTTTGGAGGAGGGCTGACTGCCTGTGTGAAGCATTTTATACACTTAATATATTTTATGCATGCATGCCCTTGCTGTCTTGCAGCAACCTCCCCTTTGAGGAAAGAGCACTAAGGAAAGTTGGCAAAGAAAATCTGGAGAGGACCTGGGTCACTTGTAGCCCCCTCCCCCTGTTCCTTTCTGCTGTTTCCCCCTTCTCACAGTTCAGTGCAGGGGAAGTGTTCTGCAACAGCTTTGATTTTAGAAGAAACGAATGGTCTGAGGGAGCGGCGACAGGCCGTTCTGGGGTACTGCAAGGGAATCCAGCATTAAACAGGAGGAGAGGAAAGAGACGAGTATTTGGGAGGAGAATGGAGGGACAGGAAGCAATGCAAAAGGAGGGATTGAAGAAGAAAAAGATGCGTGTGTGGCTAAATGGGAGCTGTGGGTCAGGCTGCAAATTTGGCTTTGCTGGAATGGGGCTTTGCACTAAATTACTGTCACTGGTGTGTTTCAGCTTCTCCATTCCCAAACCCAAAAGGCATGCAACGATGGGCAAGCGTAAAAAGAAAATATGGCCACTGGTAGAAGCGAATTAGATTAAATCATTGATGTCTACACAGTATTTTGAGATACTCAGGAGCACAAGTCACTCTAACACTCTGCTTGAAGACACAGACCTTCAGAGATGAAGAAAATGTGGCTCTGCCCTGGCAGCTGAGGGCTGCAGCCTGGGGCTGACAAAGAATTGTCCCTCCAAATCCTCCTGTGGGGTATCTGGACCTTCCTGCTGGGTGGGTGTCCCCTCAGCACGGCAATGCACAGAGAACTCAACTTCCATGTACTTGTTCACACTAAAAAAACCTGGCAGTGGATGCAGTTCTAGGCAATTACTTTTTACTTTATGTTGAAGGAAACAATCCCAAATAGATGAAAAAAACCAGATTTATTTTCACTGAGCTTATGATAACGCTTCTGTTTTTTCATCAAGAACTCATCCCAAATGGTTTTCTCTGAAGTGCTGCGTGCATATTTGCTGAATAGTACTTCCTTAAAATACTCATAAGTAGTTGAAACCCGTGTGGGAGCGAGGATAGTTGTTCCCATTTATGAAGTGTAGGAAAACCGAGGCTCAAGAAATGTGCTTGAGGTACCAGAGCATCTACAGGTGCGTCCAGGAATTGGGTCCAGATCTACTGCTTCTCCCAGCTCTGTGCCTTAAACCTGGAAAATGTTGCTTTCCTGAAGTCGGAAGCGATAAATATAAATGTGTGGCAGGGAGGTGGGGTAAGGGACAAGCCAGGATAAAACATGACTTAAAAATCAGGAGCCTTCGTGTTCCGTAAAAGGATTAAGTAAGTAACAGTGTGGAAAGTCTTAGTAGGCCACTTATCTCATAGCATATACTATTTAGATGAAGCGCGTATCGTTTTACCTTTATCGGCCCTACTTACTTTGGCTCGGATGCAGAGCACTTCCATGGGTCGCCGGTTATTCTCGGGGTTGGATGTCGTAGCAGCACACGAGGTATGTATGTACCCGAGGCATGCGTGCAGTTTTCTTTCATTAACTGGCATTATACAAAGGCCTCAAGTGTTAGATTTACGAAGTAGCTTTTCTACGTAAAGCCTCAAATCTATTGAATTGAACTGAAGCGGAGCTGGATGGGAGACGGAACTGTGCATTTCCCTAAACCGCTGCTCCCTGGTATTGCATATTTGGTTCATGTAGTTATGACAAGTACAAGTAGCAAATCATTAAAGCAGCAAAAACACCATCTTTACTGTAAAGATCCCCTTTGAAGCTGAGGCAGAGTGTTCCTGAATTAATGGAGTGCATAGTGATTTTACTAAGTTTTATTTATAAAAAACCCTCTTTGCGTTCATGCCAAGAGTCTCCAGCTCAGTGGTAAGCAGGGTTCATACACAGAAACCTAGTCTAGATTTATGATGTGTTTGAAAACGCAAGGGAAAAAATATCGAATTGACAATATTTGTAACATATTGTTAAAATATCTATTCTATCGCCATGCGTGGAATTCTCCTGCTTTATAAACACGAGTGCCAGCTACAACCCTTGAAATGTCATAACACACAGAGACAAAAAGAAAACAAAAAAACTTTTGTTAGAATGCCTTCTAAAGTCCAAGATGTGTTTGGGTGGTGTGTGGAACAGAGTTAATTAATGAAAAATAAAATATACACAAAGGCATATGTTCTTTAACTTAAAAAAGAAAAGCTGTAATATCAACACTTTTGACAGCTCCCTTTATCAGCGCTGAAGCTTTGCTTCCTGCAGCTCAGAGCGTGCAGTTCTTTGCCTCTGTGTATGTATTATATTCTGGGCAAACTAATCTGTGTAGAGACAGTATTTTTTGCACTGAAATCCCTCTTGTTTCATAGTTTTGCAAACTCTGAGCAGCTGCACAGCTTTGCTTTTACATGGGCTTATAAATTATTCTGCTACCTAAGGTATTGTGCACAAATTTTGGAGGCGAGTAATGATTATAGGAGAAAACAGAACGCTCTGCTTGGAAAAATGTCATAGGTAGGAGGCAAGCGTCTGTGCTCTGGGAAGGGCTGTATGGAGGTCTATTTGCATTTTTATGTACATATATACATAGAGAAATCAAGAGGTATGTGTAACTTTGAAACTGTTGCTATTGCATTTTGAGTCTTCAAACCAGAAGCCAAGCCCCTGCCCTTGTCATGAAGCTTTAAAATCTTTTCAGAACCTGGGAGTCCAGGCCAAGGGCTGCAACAGGCCATGCAGCACCCTTCAGCTGGAGAGGACAAGAAGGCTTGGCAGAGCACTTGAGTGCGCTGACATCCAGCCTCGTCCCAAGATGGGGCTGGGACGAAGTCTCGCGACCCGGACTGCTCCAACGAGCAGCCTTGAATGTGGTTCTGTAGCGGTCAGAAATAGGTTGAGCTGGTTGTGAGCGCACAGTGATTGAGGAGGAGAGGTTTACCCTTGGTTGAAATTCATATTGCTGGAGCACAAGGAAATACAAAAGGCCATTTCTGCATTTCCTGAAAATGTTAGGCACTTTTTTCTTTTTGGGTGTGTTTGTTGTGTGAAACAAGGGGAGGAGAAGGGAAAAGCCGCTAAGAATAAACATGTCATTTGATTTAAAAAAAAAAAAAAAAAATCGGGTTTGCTGTTACCAATCTTCACTTGGAGCCAGCAAATGAAGAACTTGCAGAATTTATAATGGGATTGAAAGACCAGGTAACAGCAACTAGCAGTTTGGCTGGGTTATTCTGCAGTTAATGTCAAAACTTTCATGGCCTTTATTGAGAAGAATTAGGTTAATGAGGAGGGCTTTTTGAACTCTTCTTAAACCAGCCCATTGATTTAAAACTTCTTACAAACTTGAGGAAGGTTTCCTGGTTTGGATTACTAGGTGCTTCTTGGAGATCTCTAGTTCATTAATCAAAGTGTTCAAGTTACTCCGTCACCCACGGTCCTTTGAAACCCATCCGAATTGTAACACCTTGGGGCAGAGCTTGCCCTCTTTGTTCACATTTGGTGGTGTCCCGCGCTTCCCTCCCTGCGGAAGTTCAGAGCACACCAGACTCTTAAGAATAAAGCAATGCACCATAAAGAGGAAGGTATAAAAATGTCAGTAAAGATGCTAAATATACAGCAGTTTGGGGAGCCCCAGTAAGTTAAATATTAACAAGTTCTATTGCTCTCACTTTGGTCAGTTAATAAAATACTCTAATTATTAGATTGTCTCAATTGCCTGATGTGCAGCTTCGGAGATAGAGAGCCTTCTCAAATGAACCCTCTGTGTTTTCCGAACTTCTTTGCGTAATAGGAATGTGCTGCAGCTTTCTTTTTATAGAGCAATCTCAGGGGTTATTGTAATGTGCTTAGATGAACGCGCAGCCCAAGCGTTGCTCTGTGCTCATGCAGAACAGAAGAACGTTCAAGAAACTGCCCCACTGGGGATAGAGTACGAGAGCGTTCACATATACCATCACCTGAGCTTTCTCACAGTGGGTAATAGACCCTCCTGCTCCACAAAAATGGGGGGAAAAAGGATGTATATTCTCTGTTTTGGCCATTAAGATGTTTTGGAGCCCTTAGGAAAAGGAATGCCCTGTTGTGTATATACCTTTGAGCCTCACTGGGGCGTGGGGAAATCGGTGCCCTCTGCATCCACAGCCCTCGCTCGGCAGCAGCAGGGCTGGGAGCGCAGCGCTGGGTCCCGACTCCTGGGTCTTGCAAGCCTTCAGCTGGTTCAGATCTGGGGTTTTGAGTCTCTCTTCCCCCCTCTCCCCACAAAGACTTCTGCGTTGCTTTGGTTTGTAGAGCAGTAACCCCATCCAAATCATCCACAAAGTAGTAATTCTGCCCTTCAGGCAGATTCCATCCTGAAACACAACTGTAAAATCATCCTTTGCATTATCATAAATGCCTAATGGGCATCTTCTCCAGTCCCTGGAGTGCCTAGCGCTCTGCTGTACGCTCCTGGCTTTGCATTCAACGTCTGTACTTATTTTTTCTTAACAGTGAAAATTGCTGCAGATACGGGCAAGACAGCCTCCTTGTGTCTTGTCATTGGAATATGCTCGCTAAACTCCAGTTCCCTCGTGGGTTAGTTCTGTTTATTCCTTGTTTGCTTGGAAGGGTTTTGGCTAAGAAAATATGCTGAACCTAGTGATGCTGCAATGGACGTTACTCAAAACTATTTGGCGTGTAGTTTCCTCTCTCGTACCAATGGTGTTGACATCTTTTTTTTTTTTTAGATCCCAGACTGTATTTGCAGAACTGTTTGTTAATTCCTGCACTGCACAAGCATGGGGTCTGGCTTCACAGACACTGTTTTTCTGTGTTCCTAGCAGAGCTGGGACCTCAGAAGATGAACCAAAGTGCAGATTTGTGATCTTCCTCTGCCTCAGTATCCCCATCCTTCAAATGAAGACCTTCTCTCTTCAAAGAGGCTCAGGAGGAATAATTTATTAGTGGGCAGAAATACAAACTGTTGGTCGCTTTAGGCTGGTTTTGCTCACATTGGACGGGCTTTGTATTTCAGTGATGTGTTACCGGGTCACAAAAGAAAGAATAAATCTTGTTTACTTGTTTACATCCCGTGGGAATCTTCTGCTGTGCTGGGTTTTGGGCTTGTTCCTAGCAAGGCTGAAATGTGCTGTGCTTCCCCTGTCAGGCAGCTGTTCTGTGTAGCTGCTGCCCACTTGAGAGGCAGAATATGCAGTGCCTTTACTGAAAGGGTGCCAAGGATTGCAAGAGAGGAGCTGGAGGGAGGAAGTTAGAGGGGGAGGGAGGGAGAGAGCAAACACACAGCGAGAAAAGGAAGAGAAAACTGGTGGAGAGGAGAGCTCAGCTGGGGGATGACACAAGGGGCTGGCAGGGGATTAGAAAATACAGAGCAATGGGAGAGATGCAGCGTGAGCTCAGCAGCTTCTTTGTGTCTTCATGGGTTTGGGGGGATATCTAGGCCCCCCCAGCCTCATCAGCTATTTGGATTCGTGAGAAAGGAGCTTTGCTGTCTCACAGAGCAGCCCTGCCAAAGTCTTCTTTCGGACAAGGCTTGCGAGTTGCAAACTTCTTGAATGTTATTTGTGGGGTGGCCTTTTTGGTGTGTGAGTAGGACTTGGGTTTTCTATTGTTGTTGCTTGCTTTTTTTCCTTTTTAGAAATAAACCCATAATCAGCTGTGGGAAGACTTTGCTTTGAATATCTGCATGTCAGATTAAAGATCTATGAATTAATAACTTCCAGGTTATTTTCCGTTTTGTATAATCATGAAGTTTCTTTGGCATGTGACAGGGAGAGAAAATAGCTTAACCCCAGCCTGCTCTGAGCTTCTCGGCCTCCTTTGGGTTTATTCTCTCAAAGCAGAGTGTTGCAAAACTTGAATTCCTTTCGGTGTAATGAAATCCTTGGACCCGTTGTAGGGCTTTGACTTTTCCCCCCTGACAACCCGAGTAGGTCTTGCACTCCAGAAAGCTGCTATTTTCCTCCCTCCGTGCTTTGGGAAGTCTGCCGTTGCGTTGCCCGGCTCCTGCCTGATGGACTTTATCAATCCCAGGAAGTTTTGTCGCCTTTCTCTGCCCGTCGGTGGGTTAAGGCTGTGCTGGCCGGCAGCGGTGCGGGGTTTCTGCCTGTCTGGAGGTGGCCGTGCATCCCCCGGCTGATGCTGCGCGCTGCAGCCCGACCTGCTGGGCACACGGGATCATTGCATCCCCGAAATCCGCCACCAGCAGCCCCAGCGCCGCAGCAGCGAGCCTTCTGCAAAAGAGCTTTCCGCTTTCTAGTTGGTTTTTAACATAAGTGGCGTTTTTAGTGGACCATTAATTTGCTTTACTACGTGTAATTAGGAAAAACTGGATACTGAGGGGACAAAATGGGGCTTGGACTGGATTCACCTGTCAGCCAGCCAAGACCTGTTTGGGTCGACATTTCCAAAATGATGATAAATCGTCTCCTCCTGCGTGTGAGGAGGTCCCTCGCTTTGCTTTTGACCCTGTTGCCGCGAGGTAGACCTGTCCCGCTGATAAAACACAGCGTAAGCAGAGACGGGTCCTGCTCTCGCCATGGCCTTGTTTGCCTCGTGAGACAGGGACAAAGTTGTTTCCCTTCTGTGCATGATTTCCACAGCCGAGAAAATATTTATTAGGCGGGATAAACGCTGAGATCGGTAGATAAAGGAATTTCTCTTGTGGTTTGTTAATAAGACCACTGTTGTTGATAGGGCCCGGGGAGGGGAGGACGGACATGTATGCGTATCACAGTGATGTGCAATAGAAAACATGGGATTTTCAGGCGAACGTAATGTTACCCGGGCACTGGCACTGTAAGGAAGTCAATAGCCTGGGTGAAGAAGGTGCAGAAAATCTGCCTCCACCAAAACCTCAGCTATTCACATATTAATCACAGGGGCTAACCACACAGATCCAAATGGGCGCTTAGGAGCCGATGAAGCCTTTAAGGCGTTCAAAAAAGAACCATCATGCATTTTCTAGCACATAAATGTGTTTAAAAAGGTATATAATTTATAATAGCAATGTTGACAGAGCTTTAACTACATTATAAAAGCTAAACTGTAATATATTTACATGTGAGCAGTACTTACTGTGTGGGTGCGTCTCTGTTGATGTGTTTCCATGTGATTCTCTATAATTTCAGCAAGTGATTGTAGTAAGGGATATTAAACCATAGTATTGATAATACTTTTACAGCTCTGCTTTGGGAAATGCATTACTGCTAAATTAGTCCCTGAAAATCTAGAGATATTAACACTGTCGAGCATGAAGGCAGATGGGATTTGGATCAGAGACCTTTATTTGTAGTATGGTACTAAGGAATCATTACTTTAAAGCAGGAACTTCGTTTCCTTGAATATTAACTCGAGTTGGGGATTTTACTTCCGCTTTGGCATAAACAAGCTTATCATAAAAGCGTAAATGGAACTCGCTTGATATTGATTTTTCTTATGCTCTGAAAAGATGCTTAATGAAACTCTAGGTACCTAGATAAAGACCTTCACTGAATGCAAAGTAAGCTTAATTGCAGTTCCCTTAACAAGCTACTGGAGACGAATTATTTTTTTTTCTACTACAAAGCCCTTTCACCTATTTAGATTGTTTCTCTTCCTGTGTGTGCCAGGATGCGTTAATTCAGCTTTTTTTTTTTTTCTCCCCGCCCCCCCTCCCTCCCCCTTGAGAGGCAAACTGCAGCTTAAAGAAAGGAAAACTTCTTTGCCAGTTCGTGTGTGGAAAAAATTTCAGCCTTGGGGAACTTGATTTTTGAGGTCTCAGTAAGAGGGTTTAGTCTTAAAAGAGAGTAACTGTCCCTCTCCCACTGCTGCAGAAGGGGAGACGGGCCTGGCGGCATGTTCTGACACTGCGCAACAGAACTGTAGCAAAACCAGAACCTGAACTGAGGTTTTTTCCTAGCATTTGTCCTAAGACCCGTCATCTGCCAGATCCTGTGACTCTGCCAGAGCAGAGGCAGGACTTTTATTTTCATCCTCCAGCATTGCAAGCCCCAAAGCAAAGAGGAAGGGTAGGTTCAGATTATTCCCTTCCTTGCAGAGAGCAGCGTGTTTGTGCTCTTGAGGTTGTGGAGAAGGAAGCAACAGTGTGTTCCCTGATCGTGGTGACTCTTTCTCCTGTAGGTCCTGCTTGTGCTGCTTGCTCGGAGCCCTGTTGATGCTTCATTAGGTTCTTTTCATTCTCCTCTTGGTAATGTTTTTTTCCCTCCTCCAATGCAGGGGCTCTGCCAGAGGCTGCGTCTCTGCCCGATGCCAGGTCTGTGCGATGGCCGCAGGTCCTGCAGGGACCTGGTGTGACTGATGCAACCTGCCTGACGCTGCTGTCCAAAGTCACTGCGCTCTAAATTGCCACCCCCTTTTTTGTTGGGGCCACCCCTGCCACCAGAGACACAAGCCGTCCCCTCTGCAATTTGCTCGGAGTCGATACGTATAAAGCATAATATCGGCGTTAATTATACAGAATGCCTTCAAGCCCCTCTTTCTGCTGCTGTGCGAGAAACTGTTTCTGCAGAAAATGTCAGATGGCTAAAAGATGGCGTAATTTCTTCTTTTTTTTTTTTTCCTGTGCCACAACTATCATGAAGCAAGAAAGCCGGGTATTTAGCACACTTGGGGGTAGCCAAACAGTGCCAGGGGAGCCCCTGGATGAGGTGTAAGCCCAAGAAACCTCTTGCTCTTTCCCCTAGAGTCAATCTTGCTTTTGTTCATGCTCCAAAGAGCGATAAGTTGGGGAATTTTGCTGAGGATTTGAGTAGGAAGATAGAGCAGCTTTGCGTCAGGTGCAGAGTAATTATTTGCCGGGGTTCTGTGCTATTTGGTTTTTATTCCCTGTGTTTTCATTAAAAGCTAATGAGTTTTTTCTTCGTTCAGAACAATAGCTTGGCCCCTGACAAGTTGTTGGTTATTTTTTCTGCTTGGACTCAACTAGCTGTTGCTGCTCCATAAACTTTATGGAGAAGTGGATTAAAGCACAAGAAGTTCTCGTAATGCAAATCCAAATGGAAAGGAAATAAGATTTGTTTTAAGTAGCTGTGTGTGCAGCGTTTTTGTTGATCTTTTGTTACTGAAACTATAAGCAGTGTTTGAAAACATCCCTAATACTAAACCAAACAAAATGCCTTTGTTTGTATTGCTTTGTATTGCAGCAGCTCACACAATTTGGAGCCCTACGGTGCTTGGCATGAGACACGTATGTACATACTGCAGCCCGGGTATATTGGGGTGGGTTACGGTAGCTTGCACGAACGCGTGCGACCCCAGTTTCCACTCCTGCATGGGGACAGCAAGAAAGCACGTTTGTGGTGACAACCCCCCTACATGATATTTCATGCCTGGGAATTATTCTGCCGAAACGGAGACCCGTGGCTTGATTCTTCCCCGTGGTTCATGTCTGTACCAGCTTCTCCTGCCGCTAAAGCCCGTGACTTATTCTTGCAAGTAACTTTCCTGATTGGGCCCTTGTTCTTGTTCCAAATGGTTTACTGCAGCCACGCACCGATGCGTGAGCCGTGCCTCTCCGGCGCGGCGGCTGCGCCGTGCCACGCTGCCTCCTGCTAGTCGGAAACCAGAAACGGTTTGCTTGTTATCGCAATAATCCTGCACCTGTATCTCATTATCGGGGACCACCTGTTACCTCGGTGCTTGTTTGTAAAGCCGGGTTTAATACGGTGCGGTTTGGAATACGGTGCAGTTTGGGAGAAAAATGTTCTTTTTAAGGGGCGGAACGGGCTTATGGCAACTGCCTTATAATGCTGGCATCTTCACATCACTGCAGATAGTCGAGCCCACAACGCTGCAGCACGGCGCTGAGGACGGCTCCTCATTAGAATGAACGCTGTGTTTTCCTACGCCACTGAGCTGTTGCTATTCGGTAGCAGCTTTTTATATGGGCTTTTTAGAGCCTTTTTATTTGAGGCTCTCAAAGTGCTACAGTAAAACAGGGAAGAAACATCCCCTTGTCACACACAACTGAGCAAAGCACTGAAATGACTTCTCCGAGGTCAGGCGGTCAGTGGTGCGCTCATGGATGCGCTCCGCTTCCCAGAGTCTGGCCAGCGGAGCTGGGGGGTTCAGTCTCTGCTTTTTAACCCCTAATTGTTTGTGGTTTTTTTTTTTCTTTCGTGGAGGTGCATGCATGAATTTCAGTTTGTTGTAGCATAGAGGAACGTGCTTTGCTTACTCTTCATGACTTAGAAGTAGTCTGTGGATGGAAGACGACTGCAGTACCAAGCTCTGCTGATGTCTGATCCCGCAGGAGGGATCAGAGCCTGCCCTTTTGGGGCAGGGACCTGCAGCTTTCTTCTTGGCGCGAGAGATTAGTAATGCAGATGCCGAATGATGCACCTCCCAAAAGGAGAAAAGTTGTTTTCTGAATTTCCTTTTTCTCTGGAATCTGATGTTCCGCACTGCGTGCTGGGATGGCTGCTGGAAGCAAGTGAGCATAGAGCTGGGAACTTGATTGCTTCTTGGGCTCTTCCCCTGTTAGGAAAGTTGTAATGGCTTAAAGGGTGGGCTGCTAGGGACCCCTCTGTTCTGTCATTGTCCCCCATAGGCCTTTGGTAAATCTCCAAGTCAAATCTTCAAGCAGTTTTTGCAAGACCTTTGAGCTTATGATATCAGCAAGACTATCGTGGCGTCTGGCACGCAGTGTGATTTGTTTTTTAAGGAACTGATCTGTGGGAAGGACAATCTTGTGTGCGTTACGTTCTTCACAGCCAGACTGTTCTTTTTGGTGAAGAGTTGAAGTTTTCTTGAAAATGTGCCCTTGAACGCAGGAGCCTGGGTTCTCCGAGAGCTTCACGCTTGGAGAAAGCAAGGGAAGGTTGCAACCTGGGATGTTGAAAATAAAACACATCCAAAATATTGTGTCATGTCTTTCTGCAGCTGGAGACTTAATGGCGTCTCCACTGTGTTTCTTGGTGGGAGGAACAGCGTTATAACCCTCCGTTCCAGGCCTTGGTACCCTTTCATCAGTGCTTGATTTAAACTGTGGGGCACAGTTCCTCTGTTTGCTGAGATAAAACTTGGTTTTAGTGTTTGAACACAATTAACATCAGCTGAAAACTCACCTTTTGTGCTGTTTGTTGTGTGTTGAATGAGTAAGCAGCTGTCTTTACCTCTGTTATCAGCAGGCTGGGCTGTGTGTGTTCAGGAAATGTAAGGCAAAAGCTTGAAAGACCACTTTTTCGCTTTGTTTAGGGCGAGTAGTGTTTTCTTCTACAGGTAGGCTAGCTGCGCTCCATTTATATTAAAATTTGATATGAACGTCTGTCACTGTGATATCTAAGTGCCTTCTGCATAAAATCCCGTATCAGTAGCAAATTCCCTAGCAAAATGTCTGCTCACAGAAAAATTCAGTGTAACATCAAGTATGGGGAGGTAATAGCTCCTGCCTCCACACACAGACACGTTGCTTTGTTGATTTGAATGTGACTGTCATGGGGAGTCAATCTTTTTTTCCCCCTACCACTTTTCAATTAAGGATCTCAAAGCTTTTTCTCACAATATAGGAAGATTCTTCATTCTAGTGAAGCAGGGAGCGTAGTCCTCCATTTTACAGATGGATGATTTATGCGGAGGTCACGTACCGAGGGCAAGAACAAGGAATTGGACATAGCTCTGGTAGTTTGGCCCCAAGACGGGTATTTCCAGCCTCCTCCTTGTATGCCCTCCAGGTGTGAAGTCTGTACATATCCAGCATGATGAAAAAAACCGCCTTGGCCCTAAATGATGAATCTGGCCGTAAACCCACAAAAGTGGTTTTGGGTTTTGTAGAGAACTTCAGTGGAAGGTGGGAACCAAGAGGAAACATACCTCACGGTGTAGGCAATGAGATCTGGATTTAGAAATGAGTCTTTTTCACTAAAATCAGGCTCTCCTTCTCTTTCTAGGAGAGGATCAGCACGACTTCGGACAGGACAGTTCTGATGAAAATCAGAGCTGGAGTTTGGCTCCTTCCATGACAGCTGATGCTTCACTTCGATCAGACTTCCAGGATGATGGTAAGTCACTGATGTTTTATGAAGTCCTTGGGTGAAGAAGATGGAAAGGTAAGTGCAATCTAGTATGACTTCCTTGTTGTCATTCATCCATCTTATAACGCTGGAGGTGTTTCGGGGTTTTTTTGTTGTTTGTTAACTGGTACCTGTTTTACCAATGACCATAAAATGCTACGGCGATCCGGAATTCAATATTGCTAAGTTAAATGTATTTCTTGATTATCTTGGTGCAAACTGGCGTTGGTTGTTCTATTTTGAATTGACAACAGTAATGGAAAAGAGCAGAATTTGACCTGGTGGCTAGCGTTTCCCAAAGTTAACATGCGACTTTTGGGTGCATTTCTTCTTGGGTGCTCAGCCTCACACTTTAAAAGGTCTGTGTCTTCTCAAACCTTGTCTCCCCCCACCCTTTGAAAATCAGGCCTCTTTAAAGTGCTTTGCTTTGGAGAGCCTTTTGTGGGACCTTCTAGTTCTTGGGAATTTGGGGCTCCTTCCTGCGAGCGTAGAAGGGCTCCCAGCCGAGCGGTGGATGGGAGCTGGCGTCCGAGGCCAAGGGCGCTTTCCAAAGCATTAAATGTCAGATGGGGGTTTCCTGGGCAAACAGTTGTTGCGATGCCCACGTCTGCTTGCGAGTGGCGGTTTAGGAGTGATGGATGTGGGATATGCTATTGAAATCGAAGCCTACAGTGCCGAGATTGTTCTGATCTTCTCAGGCGTTATCTTTGGGCCCCAGTGAAGGCTTGACTGCTTTGGGCTCAGATTCTCGATTTCCTGCTTCCCGCAGACCTTATTTCCTCCTCTTCTTCCACTTCCCTTGCGCTTTTCCCCCATGCGTTCTTACCTTTGTCCTTCCTCTTTCATTTTCTCTGCTTCGGACCCTCCTCTTCTCCACCTTTCTCTACTCAATGTACTCTTTCATGTCTACTCCCACTCTTGTCAGGAATCAGTAGTCATCAGTCAAGAATACAAAGAAATGAGGATTTATTTGGGACGAGGCCATAAGAGCTGATGTGCACTAAAGTTAGCTTCTTTGCGCGGTGCAAAACGCCAGGCATATCTGCTGTATGGGTTGATTTATGCCATAAAATAAATGTCTTCGTTTAGACTGATTAGAGACAAGGTTGGTCTGATAGTTAGCTAGTAATTGCAGCATGAAAAGAGGTGTGGAGTTTGGGATTGGTTGTTTTAAATAATCTGTGTGCTCAGATATGATGCACTTACGCAGAGTGCGGATGGAGAACGTGTGACAGGGATAATGGATGTTGGCCTAAATGGGACATGAAAGGGTGCTGAAGACCTCAAGCTTGGCCTCGTCAGGCGAGCAATGTCTTTATGAAGTCTAGGGTTTCTCCTGGCGTGTTTATTAAGCTTGTCTAAGGAGGTATTTGCTTTGCTAACTTTGAGTGGTGGGTTTTGGCAGCTCTAAGGGGCAGAGTTTGACATAACACTTGCAAGGTATGCAAACACTTGGCACCACTGGAAGTTTTCAGACACAGATGAAATGCCAGGCTCGATGGAAGGATGCCCGAAGGGGTGCATGGCGAGGAGATTGATAACACAGAAAAATTACACACTACAAAAAGGAGGGAAAAATGCTGGCATCGAGAGCAGTTACATTAAAATGAGGTGTTAGTTCTTGGAGACCGGTAAGAGCGCTGAATAACAGCAAATCGTGGGCTTGACTTTGTTCTGGATGAAAGTTGAGCAATTTTGGCTGATTGGGTGCAGGCTGTTGGTAGTCTGAAACAGTAATAATAAAGGGAAAAAAGGCTGAACACAGGATTTTGGAACCTTTTCTTTGCCCCGCCACGGTTTGTAGGGGCGTCATCAGAATGAATTTTTCTCGATGTCTGCCAGTGGGATGGATATGGATCGGGGCTGTGATTTCCTCTGGGTTTTTGAATTTCTGTGGTGGCTTACTGCCGGATTTTTTTTTTTTTTGTTTACTTGGGGGATTTTTTTTTTGCTTGCTTGTTTTCTTTGCTTACTTTTTTCACTATAGAAGGTGAAGGAACAATGATTTTTTTTTTTAATGAATATGAAGTCAGTCACCTGAGAGTTTAAATTGTTACTTCAGAGAAGTGGATTAAGCTAAAGGGCGTGTCAAACAATCTTGAATTTTGAATTAGAACATCCTTGTGGGAAAAGTGGAAAGTTTTAAGATTGCATGAACTGATTTTCATCATGATCAAAGTTTGCCTTGGCTTCTCTGGGTGTGCAAACCTTCACTTTTACTGCACCCCTGTTTTGCTTCCGCACTCTCTTCTCCACTTAGCCGGCAAGGTTCCCAGAACAGGCGCCCTGCTCCTGTGCGCTAGTACAGAGCCTGGGCCATGATGGACTGGGAGCTGCTCCTTTCGGGCAGCACAGGTGGCTGTTGCATGGGGGTAATCCATCTAGCTATGGCCAGAAGAATAAATTGGCCGGTTATAGGAACATACTTCTCATTCCTGTGGCTTTTTTCCATCCCTCCTTAGCCCTGTTTTGCAAGAACAAGAGGTTACGCCCTTAGGTGCAAGCCCACAGCACTGTTAAAGGCTGCTATCTCCTGCCTTCCTGAATTTCCCAACTTTATTAATTCAAGGTTTTAATGGAAGAGGGTCTCTGGCTGGGATGACGCTCACTTCTGCCTATCCTTGCGATGAAAAATGGGGGAGTTTGGAGGCAAGGGAATGCCGCCACTGTTCATTTTGAACAGACTTTTCCTGGCTTGCCCTGAACTTCTCCTGAGAATCAGAGAGAACCTTCAAAGTTGTCTCTGGAGGGAGCAAGAGGGACTGAGCGGCGAGTTGGGGATGACTTTACTCAATGAGGCATGGCCCAGCTCTATAGGATCGTCCCTAATGAGTGATTAAGAAGCTAATGTTTGTACAGTGCTGGGAGGCTGGGAAGCACTGTGGAAGTACTAAGTACTGTTATAATGATAAGTATTTCTTAGGAGACACTTCCCATGTAATGTACTCTGCTCAGACCACTTGAAGACTTAAAAAAATGTTTTGTCTTTTAAACTGGTAGATCACTTAATTTGCCGGTGTTCGTTCATTTAGTTTTACTGAAGTGTGAGGTAGATACCACAACGCCCTGAGGGGTAGGAGTTTCACACCTTAATATTTAGCACTTCTAGATATTGCTTTATCAGTTTGGATTTCCCCGTGGCTCCTTAGCGGCGCTTCTGCAATCATTGCAGAGCATCTGATCGCTTGCTGGGGGGATGCTGAGCCAGGATCCAAATGATTCACTCGGTGTCACGGCGAGATCACACGGAGCTGAGGGGGTGAGGGCCGCTACGGCTTCTGCCCCCGCGCCTGGCTATCGGCTGTACTGCCGTGTCACAACAACGTGAGCCACAATATGTTTCCTTTTATATAACACAGGTATCCGTCAGCACGTGGAAGGGAGCATAACTCACAGGGACAGGAATGTACTTTATGGGTTCTGTTAGGCATGCTCCCCGGGGTAGGAAATCTTGCCTCTGACTTCCAAGATTTTTCCATCACGTAAGCAGGGGACTTTGGCCAAACGTACTTACAGCTCATTCAGTTCTGTGTGGTGGGTTTTTTAAAAATGTGTTAAGTTCCGAGTATCTTAAAATCAAATCCTTTAGCAAAAATTCCCTTTGCTTTATAAAAATGTGCTAAAAATGGCTTTTATCTTAAAAGGTATGGAAGGCGGTAGGTGAGATGGTACTTCCCTGTGCCCTAAAAGGGCTGGGGGATGGGGGGGGGGGCAGATACAAATGCAAGATGATACTAAAGGTTTTGAGGGGGTTAGAAACTGTAAAGCGGTGTCATGTCTTTAATCCACCTCCAGGTACTTCTTGAACACATTTGCGTCCTGAAGAAGGCCCCGTTTGCTCATGTTTGGCCTTCTAGTACATAGAAACGGGTAGGGAAACAGTAAAATACCCGAGTGAGCTCTGTACGTAACCCTTCAGAAAGAAGATGCTGGTGGGCCAGCTTGCAAATCTGGGGGAGAACTCTGTAAACTTCTAAGAGAAGTTTCTTGCCTGGTCCATGGCAGCCTCCAGCCAGCCTCTGCACGTGACCGAATGCGTTCCTCTCTCGGGGCGTGCGGTGTTCTCTCTCGGTGGTGTTTTCGAGCACCGAATCCTTTCTCCCTGAAGCGTGTAGTGTTCTGAACCACATGTGCTTCCCTGCTTTTAGGTGCTCCTTGCACCTACAACTACAGCTTCTGCTCGTGTTTTCCCTGTGCTTCCTTCACGCTTCTGAACTCCCGCATTTAGGAATTGATTCCTGGAATTAATTGCTTTAATAATCCAGCCCGCGGGAGCGTTTTCAGTGGCACCTGGAGGAGCTGGGGGGATGCGGGTGGGTGCGCAGCCTTGCCCGGGCAAAGGTGGGTGCGCAGGGTGCGCTGTAC